GTTGCAGCCACAGTGTATGTAGATTTTGCATTCTGAAGAATTAGAAAAGGTTTCTGCAGTTAGTTACACAGAGTATGAAAATCCTGGATCTTATTAACCTAAAAATCAAGTAGATGTCATCTTTGATAGCATCTCCTTTAACCAGCATACCTTATTGCATTAACTGCCTTCACATTACCTGATTATTAGGGAAATTCATCCGGGAGTTACCCTCAACAGCACAGGTCTCATCATACGGTAGTAGAAATGGAGTGTATTCTAGAATTCTTCACTATCCTCATAGGATTTTTTAAAGAACTTCTATAAATGTTATCTAAATAAATTAGTCTTAAGAGAAAAATAAAATTATTAATATGCCCACTAATGGCAAGGCAAGTATGCACAATAGTTAACAGCATGGACTTTGGGGCCAGGCTGCCAAGGCTTAAATCATAGGTTTCTTGCCTACTGTGATCTTGATTTAGTTAACTTCCTAAATTTAGCTAATATTCCTCTGTTAGTTTCCTTATCCACTAGTAAAATGCTCAGTAGTGCCTGGCATGCACTAAGCAATGTTACTGTAGCATATTCTTGTCAATTTGTTGGAAGTCAGATAGCCAGTTTTTTCCCCTCCAAGAACCCTTTTACTTATTTGGAGTAAATGAAAATATGATGCTACAAAGTAGCCATATTTAGAACTAAATGAATCTATTGTGATTATGCTTGGGATCCCTTTATTTTGTTTATTTTTTATCAAAGATAACTTCAACACGTCTGTTGGTAGCATAAAAGTTTTTTATTTTACCTTTCTATAGTATCAGGAAGTTGTTCAAGTCTGTTGCTTCCCAAGTCAAGCCACTCAAGGGCAGGCATGTTCAGCACAGCAGGAGGGATTGTAGTAAAGTTGTTCATACTCAGATCAAGGTGAGTAAGTTTTAACAGATGGCTGAGCTGAAGAGAAAAGCAAGATTTTTCAAAATAAATGTGCACAAAGTAAACCACTAGCACGTTCACATTGGTAATGGAGATATTTCACATCAAGGAATGTTCACATTTTCCTTGGGCTACGTTTAGTCATAGTAGTCCACAACAAATTAAAAATAAAGTTAAATAACCTCCTGATAAACTCTCACAGAATATTGAAGGGCCCCCACCAGTAAGATGGCGAACTTCCGGCTTCTCTTCGGGGTCCTCAGTTCCCGCCGGCGCCACCTGAAGCCCAATTACCTCTCGCCCCCCTCCCAATCCCAGTACCTAGCCAATAGCCACCAGTCTCATAGAAGTAACACCAAAATCACCCCATGCCCCTTCCTATATAACCCAGCACCTTTCCCTAATAAAGCGGAATTCTCCGGTAAATTGCTGCTGTGTGTCGCTCCTTTCCTTTCAAATATTACCTCTTCAAAGAAAATTTATATAACCAAGTGTCAGTGTTTACAGAACCTGCCTGGCACAGGTTTGTTCTTTTCCTCAGGTCAGTGTTTGTTCCAGTAAAACCTGCTTATTTAAGTGAAGAAAGTGACCTTAATTTGGTCAAGAGAGATTAATAGACAATGCCCAATTCACAGAGCTTTTTAGTGACAGAACCAATCCTAGAAATGGAATGACAAGAATTAGAAATAAAATACTGGCCCTCTTGTAGGTATAAAGAAATTGTCCCTACTGGTCTTCATTTTCATCAGAAGTGCATGCATTTCATTGAATTGAACTATTAGAAGAGAAAAAGATTAGAAACTATGTTTCACTTGCAAGAGCAACAATTATTGGTGACATGTTTACTTATTTGACATACCTCATCAAGATACAGTAAGAGAAGGGAATAGTCCTTTTGAGTTTTATTATTTTTTACAACCTCTATCTTGTAGTCATTATTTTCAGGGCAAAAAACCTTGGAAATTTCCTTTGCTGATTCTAAGAGCATTATATACATTTGAAAAGTCATACAAATGTCTGTATCTCTATGATTGGTTTGGTTTTACCAATAATAAGGCATCATACTAAATCAAAGTTTGACATCTTCCCAAGCCCATTGACTTGCTTTTACTTGGTAAAGCCTAGGAAACTAGCAAAGAAATGCTTTTCCTAAACTGAGAAATTCATGTCTAACACTTTTATCTCAAAAGCTGACCACTCTAAAAACCAACTAGTAAACTTTTTCTGTCACCTTATTTTGCTTTAGGATAATCATTTACTTGTTAATTAAGCATTTATTAAGTAACAACTACAACCTAGTCCGTGCCTTCAATTCTGGGAATAGAAATAAGACCCTCTGGTCTTCAAGGAGTTCAGTCTAGCCAATTAATGATGTCAGTACTGTGACAATTATAGAAGTATCTTTTACACTAAATCAATCTTTGTCTAATTAAAAACATGCATTATAATAATAGGAAATGGTTTTCACTAAATATTTCCTGAAATAAAATTGGTAGCATTTCTTCATCAGTGTTATTTTTTAACAATCACGCAATTGAGAATTGAACTAGTACCAGATGGAAGATAAAATCATAAGCATTTATATCTTTCTGACCTCTTGTGGAAGATCACATATATCTCTGTTAACAGCAAGTTCTAGTTTCTCTAAGCTGGCACAGTTACTTAGTTCCTTGGGAACAGTCTTGATTTTGTTGTAACTAAGAATCAGTTCCTGAAGTCTAGTGAGCAATCCTACAAAAAATAAAGCACAGGAGAGAGCAGATGGATATAAAACAGTGTTTCCAGTTATTAAGTATTATGGCTAATTCACTTGCCAGTTTTGCATTGGCGAATTCACCCTTCTCCCATTCTTTTCCCACTATGTGTCCTGCCCCTTCAGTTAAGGAGCAGGTTTATCAGTGCTACAGCAAAAACTTCTTTTTCTCATTGTTTTAGCTATACAATGTCCTGACTAGTTTTCCATTTGAATATTTTTTTTTCTCATTTGAAGAATCTAATTTTCTTCCTTGCCTTCAACCTGTTCTCCTCTAGGAGGAGTAACCAAACAAGCATTATTGTTTCCAGAACCTACACAATAATTTCCAAGGAGAAATATTTAATTGTTTCTCTTATTGCATTGAAACCTCATCTGGATTCCCCAGAAGCTTCAGTTTAGGTAAGTGTCTAGAATTTTCTCAAGACTCAGGCTGTATAAAGATGAGATCTTTATAACACGTGTCCAAAAAATTTCACAACAAAAAAACAAAGGAATATAAATGCAATCTTCCTTACCAATTCCTCGGGGTATCTCTGAAATTGTGTTTCGAGATAAATCTAACACTATGAGGTTCTGGAATCTTCCAATGGATTCAGGAATTTTCAACAAACCAGTTCTATGAAGTTGCCATTCCTGTAACTGATTACTCAGTTTCAGTAGAGAAGAAGGCAGGGTCTAACACAAGCAAAAGAAATGACAGAATTACTATATTACTTACATTATTTTAGTATCATGCCACACCGAAGGAGTGTAGAGATATTTAATTTGTAAAAGAACTTTGGCATATTTTTTCATATTTTCATAATAGAATAAAGAAAAATAACATTTTGGTCAATAGTGCACACCATAGAGCTATGTCCTAAAAATTCTGCTATCTCAGGTTTTATCAGTACATGTGTTTTTGAAAATGAGAATATTGTGGTTAATGGAAATCATAGAGAACCAAGTCATTTTAATCAATAATTCAAACTCTTCCACTTCTGTTTGAAATATTTTTATAAAAGTTAAAGAGGATTTTCTAAAATTAAAGGTTGTAAGTTTCAGCGATTCTGAACTCTATGCCTTTTCCCTTTAAGCCTAAAATAGCCCAAAGAGAAAATAGAAGAGCTAGCTCTCTACCTGAATATACCTATTATATGAAAACAAATATTGACTCAAGAGATAGAGGCCTTTGTAAATATTAGAGTATACCTAATGTAATTAAGCAACCATGTGCTGTTTGTGTGTGTGTGTGTGTGTGTGTGTGTGTGTGTGTGTGTGTGTGAAAGAGAAAGATGAATCAGGTGGTGGACCTGAGAAAAAAGTTAATATCCATTTCCATTTTCTGAAGTTTTAACTGAGACTTTGCTTTGGAAAAGCTTTTATGATTTTTGTTAGGCAAGTGACCATATTTTTATGGAAAATGAGAAATTGCCTATCAGAAGGATTAGTAGGAGAAATACTACAAACTACTTAAGTTCAAGCAGAGTTGAAGCAAATTGATTTAATCTTTGCAAAAATAGATTGTGAAGTTATGTTTCTTTTCAGTTGTTCACATTGCCCAAATTCATTTGGTACTATTATTAAAATTAGAATTTGTAACTGTTCCAGTCTTACCCAGTCTCAGAATCATTTTCGCAACTCTCCCACAGAATGCGATAGAAAAAAATACATACAGAAAATACTTCTATAAAATTTACCTTCCATTCCTCTTTTTCTATCTTCAAAATAACTCTTCCATCTTCCCTAGTGACCTTCTCTCTTAGCTTGGTTAAGCTTACTCGTTCTTCCCAGATCCGCACTAGCCTAGGAGACCAGGAAATCATTTTAGGTCATTGGTAATGACACAGGTGGCATTCACTTTCACATAAAAATGTGACCCATCAAAACCAATCTTATGATCAATAGTATCTGGAAATCAGACAGGAATTCATTTTGCAAGAATAATAAATATGATTAGTATCATAAATCACCCTATTTTTAAATTTCTATAGAGTATAACTCTCCATTGGGTTTTTATAACAGCTTTATTGAAATATAATTCACATACCATAAAATTAGTCCTTTCAAAGTATACAACTCGGTGATTTTTGGTAATTTCACAGAGTTGTGCAACCATCACCACTATCTGATCTAAAACATTTTGATCACTCAAAAAAGTAACTCCATATCCATTAGCAATCACTCCCAATTTCTCCCTCCTCCTGCTCCTACCAACCATTGGTCTACTTTATGTGTCTATGGATTTGCCTGTTCTGGACATTTCATATAAATAGGGTTATACAGTAAGTGGTCTTTTGTGTCTGGCTTCTTTCACATAGCAGAATATCATTCAAAGTTCACCCATGCTGTAACGTATCAATACAGGCATACCTCATTTTATTGAACTTAATTTTATTGCATTTTGCAAATACTGCATTTATTACAGATCAAAGGTTTGTGGAAACCTTGTGCCAAACAAGTCTATTTGGCACCATTTTTCCAATAGTATTTGCTCACTTCGTGTCTCTGTCATATTTTGATCATTCTCCCAATATTTAAAACTTTTTCATTATTATATGTTATGGTCTGTGTGATCAGCAACTACAACTCCTGGAAGCTTAGATGGTGAACGTTTTTTCATTAGGTATGTAAATTTTCTTTAGACATAATGCTGCTGCACCCTTAATAGTCTAGAGTGTAAACATAACTTGTATGCACTGGGAAACTAAAAAATTCATTTGGCTCACATTACTGCAAAATTTGCTTTATTGTGGTGTATCTAGAATTGAACTTACAATATCTCCAAAGTATGTCTGTAAATTATTTTTTTATAGAAAAATAACATTCCACTCTATGGATATACTACATTTTGTTTATCCATTCATTAGTTGATGGACCTTTGGGTTTATTCCACTTTTTGGCTGTTATGTATAATGCTGCTGTGAAAATTTTTATACAAGGTTTAGTGTAGACATATGTTTTCATTTCTCTTGGATATATTTCTGGGAATAGAATTGCTTGGTCATATCATACCTCTAACTTTTTCAGGAACTGCCAAACTGTGTTCAAATTGCTTGCACCATTTTACCTTCCCAACAGCAGTGCATAAGGATTCTGATTTCTCCACAGCCTTGCCAACATTTGTTATTGTCCATGTTTTTTATCATAGCCATCCTAATGGGTGTGAAGTGGTATCTCATTGTTTTGACTTGCATTTATTAAATATATAAATATCATAGATATTTAATAAATTTCTTTGCTGACTTGCAAATAATACAGTTCAACTTCAGATTTAAATTGTGTATTACCACATTCCAATTTTATCCAGATTTTGTTTTCCAGATATAAAAATGAACAAAATCTTTGTTGTTCTGTAGCACATGCCTATTGATTTTTTTGTTCATTGCAAATATATGTAAGAATAATACCAAGTAATAAAAATGACTAGCAAAATGTTGCAAAAGATTTTCTATTTCTGTACTAGGAAACTTCTTCTGTATGAAAAATAGAGAAAGAATAAATATATACTTGAAATTTTTATAATTTAACCTATTAGAATGATACATAATAAAGAACTTATAAGCAGTCATCAAAGAACATAGATTTAATTAATTTAAATACTTATTTGCCAAAAACCTCTTGACATTGAGAGTTAATGTATATTTTTAGTGTATTAACTGATCTCCAGTGAGGATTTTATAGTGAACAGATCTCTAAAGGTGAAATATATGCTGTTTATATGTGTGCTTGCAAAACATTTCTATAGATTGTGGGTTCTCATCTGCTACTTGTCTGAAATTTAATCTGCTAACAAGTGCAGGGTGGCAATGGCTGTGTGGACTTCTAGGCTGAACAGCTAAGCTTCTGATAGGTGTGGTTATCTAAGACAAATGTATAATGCCATCTATTCAATTATTTTACTTTCTATAAAAATAGAACTATTCAAACAATAGGCATAATAATTATTAATTACTTATTGCTCACTAAAAGCTATAGTTATTTCAGAGCAAGATTTAATGACAAGTGCAATTAGGTGCCTTATTCCCTAACCTTCAACTGCAGTTAAAGAATTCATAATGCATTCATTATGTGCCAAATACTGTGATGGCCATTGTGGATACAAAGGCTCTGCCCTTAGTGAGTTTACAGTAAAGTTAACTATTATTAGACAAGTCTATTTACATCTTTTCTATGATTCCTAAATTCTTTTTGGCTCTGAAAATCTGTGATCTAAATCCAGAATGTATCACTTAACTCAGAGACCATGGACTAAACATATCACCTTTGTGTGTCTTGGCTATAAAATATGGAGTTTGGATTAAATAATGGCTAAGGCCTCTTCCAGCTCCAAAATTCCATAATTCTTATACTGCTTATTTTAAGCTTGATGTTTTTTCAAGTTTTGATAGGAATTTTCTGCTTCCTCTAAAACCCTTTTATTATAGTCTAAAGCTTTTCCCAAATGTCACACCAACTTTTACCTAAGTGCTAGATTTCTTTAAGGTAGCTTGGCATCAAAAGACAGTGAGGGCAATTTCTGTTTCAACTTTAAGTTTTTTGAGCTAAATCTTTAGCCACTTGTAGCTAAAAAAGAAGCATTAGATACATTCTTAGCCTTTTTACCCCTTGCCTGTTTTGTACAGAGAAAACTTGAAGCTGCTGAAATTAAGTGATTCTTAACTAGACAAATATAATAGGTGAAATACAGAAGTTTAGAACCAATTAATTCCTAACCACTGTTAAAGAATGGATAGGACTTATTAAGGGTCCTCTATAGTCAAGTTTATCATAACTATATAATGTGAATGTAATAGGTTTCATAAAAGTAGTTTTATATAAAGAGATCCAGTCTAGGGAAATGTAATACCTGAGGTGAATATAATGCTTACTGAGCCAGATTGCTTGAGTGTGAATACCAGTTCCACATTTATTAGTAGTGTGATATTTGACAAGTTACTTAGGCCTATCCCTCAGGTTTTCCATCTTTAAAATGGAGAAAATAATAGCACCTATGTCTGACAGATACTGTTTATTGTCCCTCAGTAACTCTTATTCCTCTTCTTACTCAATAATAAGATCTCTAAACTTAACTAGGGACAAGACTTCATTTAGCCACCTTCCCTTGCAGCCAGAGACGGCCATGTGAAGTTTTGGCCAATGAGATGTTAGCAGAAGTTGCAGTATGTGCAAATTCCTGCTAGATGGAAGCAAATATGATGGCTTCAGTTGGTGTACCAACTTGGAGCCATGAGGTAACTTTAGGAATGGAAGTCGGGCACAGCTGAGCAACCAGATAAAAGCCTCAGTGTCTGACTCAATGAAGTGCTATTCCAGCCCTGGATCACTTTCCCAGGAAAGTTAACATACCTTGTTCAAGGCACTATTGTTTTGGTTTTCCTTCTTTCATAATACAATCTAATCCTTATGATGACACTGTTTTCAGCATGTTGAGAGAATTTAAAACAAGGTAGTGCAAGTAAAGCACTAGCAGAATGCCTAGTAACAGTAAGTGCACATTGAATGACTGCTACTTTTATCATTGTCACATCACTATCATGTATATGGGCTTTGGTTGGGAAGAATGGTCCCTCCCCATCCAGATATTTTTGATTTTACAGACAGTTAGCAGACAAGAATACTTGCTTATCAATTACTACCATCCCCCCGCCTCCCACCTCTTTGCTGGGAGAATACCTGTTGTTTTCAAATATTTTCTCTTCCTCCAAGTAACCCAGATATAAATCTTAATTTGTCTGAAGCAGCCATACAGTCTCAATCCCCTCAAAGATAACTAGGCTAGGGAGTACAAATGACCCAATTTCGGCCCATGAGAGGTGAAGGAGAGGTTTGCTAGGAGACCTGAGGAAGGTTTCCTCATTCTTAAAGAAGAAATGAAAATAAATAGTTTCCACTTTCCTGATAACATAATGATGCCTGGAGGTGAACTAGTCATCCTGTGACATTGAGAGAAGCCAGCCTGGGGACCAAACTTACACACTTAGGTTAGCAGTAGAAAGTGATGAAAAGAAGTGAGTCTTTAAATCTGTTGAAGCTTTGGAATGGCCTTATCTCAAGACTTCTTTACTGGTTAAGCCATTTTTAGTTGGATTTTCCATTATTTGCTAACTGACACATGACTGTTTTTTAAACTGAGATATAACTGACATGTAACTTATATTTATTTCAGGTGTAGAACATAATGGTTTGGTATTTGTCTATATATTCTAAGACACAAGAACATCTAATGTTTAGAAAGAGACCCAGTGAACAAGAATTGTAGGGAGTTATATGGAATCTGTGAGGAAAAGGGTCTTCTTAAAAAATTAGTACAATACTTTGTAGACATCTGACCAGGAGAGTAGCTAGATATCAAGAAAGCAGAGGAAATGAGAGGCAAACTATTTAACTATAGTCCAAATCAAGGAATTAGGTAATCCAGGGGCCCTGGTTGAACTCAACAGCTATTCAAATAGGTGACCATCTACAGTGCCTTCTACTGCCAGATGTTGTTTTAGACCCTAGGAAGTATAATGTTTAACAAATAAGCACTGAAAAGTAGACTAAATGATACTAATCAAACTTTGATGACTGTTGAGCAGACTCTTATGAGGCATAAGACACTACTATTTTCACAAACAGACATTTATACTTTTTGTGGTACCCATCACATAGCCACACTTGAGTCAGATGCTTCCTTCAGTGTACTTTGAATTTTCAGAAAATAAAAATTTCTATCAAGTTCAATAATAGGTCATTTAATAAACGCTTTTCTCTGTCATGATGATGTTATGAATTTTTAATAATGCAAAAGAGTAAATATGTTATAACATACTTCTGTTGAAATTCCTTCTCTCGCTTCAGGTCTTCATCGAGTTTCTTGATTCTTTTTTCCCAAACTTGCTTTACAGCATTGACAGCCCCAGTACAAACCACATTTTCTGACATGATTTCTCCACATTGTCACAGACTCACCAGCTTCATTAAGTTCTGAATAGCTAAATCACAGATGTCATCTCAGAAAGGATCTAATTATACCAGAGGGAAAAAAAGTGTCAGAACATTCATTGAATATCATAATGATTAAAATAGTTTGTATTTATTGAGCACTTTCCATGTTCCTAAAACTATTTTATACACTTTACATGCTATGTAATAAAAATTCTCATAAAAATACCATGATATGGGTACTTTTATTGTCTCTAATACATAGATGAGAAAACTGAACGTTAAAGAAGATGGGTAATTTGTTCAGGGTCTCATTTCTAATATGTGGCAGAGGTGGGAATTGATGCCAAGTCTAATTCCTTTGTTACTAAATAATTCACAGTAATGAAAAACCACAACTAGTTTTCATGTCCAATTATAGGAAAATGGCTAAATAATGGATATATAAATTACGACAGGCATCTTGGGATAGCTACCTAATCTAGATGCTATGTGCACAAACTGGAATTCAGTTAAGTGTAATATATTGGGATTGTTTGCTCTTGTATAAAATAAGTTGCAAATAGACATGTAGTATTGAGAATTGTGACCTCTCAGAAATGAGAGGAAAATAATAGTAGAGAAAAGTTATGTAAATTATGGTAGATCCATTTTATGGAATATTATTTGCCTTACAAATACTTTTGGCATTGCTTTTGTAGCAAATAATATTAGCAATAATGAAAGAATTTAATTCACAATTAATTGGATTATTTTCTTCTAAGTTCAGGAAGTCAAAGATGTCCACAGTTGCCACTTCTATTCAACATTATACCGGAATTCCTGTAATGCAAGGAAGGTAAACAGAAAGGTATAAAGTTTAAAGAGGAAGAAGTAGAATTTGCAGCAGTATAGGGAAACGTACTCTCACACACTTAAGATGGCTGTATATATTGTTGTATTCTCTATGGAGAGAAATTTGGTAAATATCCATCAAATTTACAAATGCACATTCACACTTGCAGGAATTTATACTGTAAATATTTTCAATTGTAAAATGACAAATTACAAAATTATTCACTTCAGTATTTTTCATACAACATAACTTTCCATCAGTATAGTACATCCATATCATGAGAAACTATAAAGCTCCATAAAAAAAGGAAAAGCATGGTCTCCAAATTGTATGACAACACCATAATTTATCCAGTCTAATGAATGTGGACTTTAGGTCACAGATTTTTGCTATTATGAGCAGTAATGTTTCTAAAATTCCCATTCTTATCTTCTATCTTCCTGGTGCTCAGGTGGAATAATTTCTATTGGGTATATACCTAGGATTATAATTGCTGGATCATAGTGTATGTGAATGATAAGATAATTATAATTCAAAATCATATGTCAAAATTATAAGATAGATCCAAATTGTTTTTCAAAGTGATTATGCCCATTTATACTCCTGCTACAACTCTATAAGGGTCTCCATTGATGTAGACCTTCACTAACACACTACTGCATAAAATGATATATCATCATGATCATAATTTATACTTCTGATTACTAAATCCTCCAAGCTAATATACAACGATTGTCCAATGAAATAAAAGACAATATCCAGCACATTGTTCATAAGAGGCACACCTAAAACAAAGATAGAGAAAAAAATAGAAAGTATAAAGTAGAAAAAGATCTGCTCTTAGACTTATACCCAAGTGAAATGAAAACATGTTCATAGAAAAGCTTGTACATGAATGTTGATAATAACCAAAAAATGGAAAACAAATAGCCAAAATGGCTATCAACTGACACATGGATAAACAAAATGTGCTATACTCATACAATGAAATACTATTTGGTCATAAAAAGGAATGAAGTATTGATACATACTACATCATGGATGAACTTGGAATAAAATTATGCTAAGTGAAAGAAGCCAGACACAAAGGACCACATATTGCATGATCCTATTTATATGATATGTCCAGAATAGACATCCATAGAGAAAGGAAGTAGATTGGTGATATCCAGGGGCTTTGCAGAGGGGAAAATAGGGACTCTATTTTTTTTTTTTACCACTGCTAAGGGTGCAAAATTTCTTTCTTGAGTGATGAAAATCAACTTTTGAAATAAGTTCACCTATGAAAAAACCAGGAAGAATGTAATAAAAGTTTTACATCTTGAAAATATAAAAATAGAAGTATTTTTAATAGAATGCAGAAGAAGGAAGTGGAGAAGAGAAGTAGAAGGTAGGACCAACAGTACCCATATCTTCAAAGTGGGGAGTCATGGACACTGTCTGTACTTTACAGAATGAGAAGGAAAGATTTAAGTATTTGTTTAAAGTTATAATCAAGAGAAAAACTGAGAATAGGGATATAAATCTGTGAGGTGTAGATGAGCTTAAGCAACACCTTTCATAATGAAGCTCCAAAGATAGTGTCAAAAGTTAATAAATATCATGTAACTGAGTTTGAAAAAAGAAAAATAGAAATATGAATTATTTAAAATAGCCAATATATGGAAGCAACCAGTGTCCATCAACAGATGAATGGATAAAGATGTGGTACTTATACACAATGGAATATCATTCAGCCATAAAAAAGAAAGAAATCCTACCATTTGCAACAACATCGATGGACCTAGAGGGTATTATGCTGAGTAAAATAAACCAGGTGGAGAAAGACAAATACCATATGATTTCACTTGTTTATGGAATCTGCAAACAAACCAAATAGAAATGAACAAAACAGCAGTAGTCTCATAGACACTGAGAAGTGACTGAGGATTATTACCATGGGGAAGGGTAAGAGGTGGATGAGAGGGGAAGGTGAGGGGAATAATGAGGCACAAAAATCTCATAATGTAAATTGGTCACAGGGATGGTAGCACAGCATGGAGAATATAGTCAGTGATTCTATAACATCTTTCTATGTTGACAGATAGTAACCTCACTAAAGGGGGGAGGATTTAATAATGTGTGCAACTGTTGATCATTTTGTTGTATACTTGAAACCAATATAAGATTGTATATCAACTATATTTCAATAAAAAGATAGGGAGATAACCACTGAAAGCTAAATCCTGAAATAGTTAAAATAGTTACTTTCAGGGTTTCAGAGAGAAATGGGGTAGAGAACATTGCTTTACATATCAATCTCTAAATTATTAATTTCTTTAAAAGTATACAGTGTGTAACAGAGAGACAGAGAGAGGGGGAGAAAAACTATTACAGAAGAAAAAGGTTTAAAATTGCAGGATGGATATATAATTGTCAACCACAGAAAATAGTTACAAAATGGCCCCTAGATTTAAGTAACACATGCAGAGTTTACACGGGAACAGATTACAAGATCTTTTTGCCGTCAAGAAATCTTAGAATACGTATGCTGATAATCCAGCCTCCTGAGTCTACCACAGTCAATTTACTGTCCAGATTTTAGCAAATGTCAAGTATTTATCAATAAATTATTTTTTTAAGTCCCAAGTATCTACCTGCAAATGTGTATTTTACTAGACATATATAACTATTCCTGTGCTAATTCATTTCCTCATTTGCCATTAACTTTGCTTAGCCATTTGTTTTCCGATAACAGCCACTAATTTTCCTTAGAGATAAACAAGTCAATAATGATGTATGTATTTCTGCCTCCAGGATAGGATATTGTTCTCTACCTTGATTAATCATAACAGAAAGCACATAGCACGGCAGGGAAGTAAGTATGGTGATGACATGACTGAGAGAGTCGGCTTCCCAAAGTCAAAAGAAAGCAAAAGATATACAATCTCAGAAGGCATGCTTCTTAACTTGTAAGGAAGCCAGTCTTCCAGAGAAGATGACAATCACATGAGTGACTATGAACCCATGGAGAGACTTTTAAATTCAATTCCAAGTTTGTTGTATGTTCCAGCAAATACAAACACATTAAAGGCATCATCAGCTGTCTATTTACATGCATAGAATGGGAAAAACTCTTTTTGAAAAATACTTACAACTGATGATGGTTGCAGAAGCTGATATGCCCAAAGATAGCGATTATCAGCTAAGTATGGATTGCAGAGAGAACTGTTTCCAGTGTGACTCCAAGTGATTAAAATCCTCAGTCAGACTGTAACCAAGTGAAATGTAATGTCAGCCTAGTTCTAATTTTAGTTCATGGACAAAGCTGAGAATAGAAAGAATCACATGGAGCTTCTGTGCAAAGGATCATTTGATAATGGATGTGAGTGCATTCTGTGCACTGCAAAAATGCTACACTGTAGGAATTACAAAACTATCAGGCATAACTCTTTAAATGCTCCTGAAAAGGAATTCCTGTTGTTAGTTCTTTCACTTTCATGACTTGCACATTTTGAGTATCTAATAGAATTTCATGAATCTGTTCCAAGCAGAAATTTGGAAATGTGACTATACATGAGCATAACAAAAACTTGACCTAGTAAACTTTAAGGTCTGTAAATATTTAAACTAAAGGTACAAATGCTTCAGGAAAAAAGAAGAACGAAGGTGTGGACAGGTCTGGGCAACAGAGGCTCCCCAAGCTTCTGCTGCATCTGGGCTTCAAATTTAACTCTCAGCGTTCATAGATAGGAGTTAATTCCAGGTACTTGAAAAAAGTGTGTATATTTTTTGTATTGGTAATATGAGCACGTGGAACAAAACTCAAAAGATAATGAGTCCCCCACCATTCTGTCTCCAGCCATATAGTTTTCTTCGATGAAGGTAATCACTATTGCCATTTACTGTGTGCCCTTCCAAAGATGGTCTGTTAATTAACAAGGATTAATATGCCTATATTCTTTAAAAGCACACATAAATGTGGGCATGCACACACACACACACACACACACACACACACACACACACACACACACACAAATGGCATTGTAACATTCCACATGGTACTTGGTAAAAGACTGATACAAATGGCCTCTTTATAATGGAACTGCAATTATTCTTGTCATGCTTTGGTTGCTTGTGTGGCTCTCCTCTGGACTGTCTCCAAATTCCCCTGCTCAGTTTTAGCAAGCTGGCCTAGAGTTCTCTCATGAGAATCTGACTGGCACATATATTAGCTTATGGTGAAAGCCCTTCTGCTCAACACTGGGACTGCCGCATAATTAATTCATTTCCATTTAATTCTGAGCTCACAAACATCAAGGATTCATGTTACCTTCAGTGTTTGCCTAAATGGTAATACCTTCTGTAACAAAAAAGCCCTTGGTTATTTTGATGGGATAACAATGATAACATGAACCATCTCAGGTTTCGTATAAATAATTCAGGGTTGACCTGGTCTGTCTGATGAGAATCACCCAAGTGACCTTGAGTGAGATTGAAAACAAGTTTGGTTGCTTGTGTGGCTCTCCTCTGGACTGTCTCCAAATTCCCCTGCTCAGTTTTAGCAAGCTGGCCTAGAGTTCTCTCATGAGAATCTGACTGGCACATATATTAGCTTATGGTGAAAGCCCTTCTGCTCAACACTGGGACTGCCGCATAATTAATTCATTTCCATTTAATTCTGAGCTCACAAACATCAAGGATTCATGTTACCTTCAGTGTTTGCCTAAATGGTAATACCTTCTGTAACAAAAAAGCCCTTGGTTATTTTGATGGGATAACAATGATAACATGAACCATCTCAGGTTTTGTATAAATAATTCAGGGTTGACCTGGTCTGTCTGATGAGAATCACCCAAGTGACCTTGAGTGAGATTGAAAACAAGGGCATATAGAGAGAGCTATTTAAAAGACATCTGGGAGAGAGATGTGACCAAAGCTTTTGCCAAGCACACTGTAATTACAGGTGAGTAGTGGGGAAGGAAGCCAGATGGCAAGGAGTTCAAGACTATCTATTTAAGTAGTTAGGCAAAGGCAGAGAGGAGCAGGACAGGAAGTTTTTTCATGCGGTGGCAGGTAGAGGTAGCAACATGAGAAAGGAGTGCTTTGAGACTTCTTTTAGACAGAGGGAAATTAGCATTAAAGAGATAGAGAGTTTTTTGGGAGGAGGTGATTATTTTAAAAATAAGAACAGTTCTTTCTCTATATTTATTTTGTTTGTTATGCAAAATCCAATAGTATTTTCTGTGATATGGAAATATTCTATATCTGCAGTGTCCAATATGGTAACCACGAGCCACATGTGTCCATTTAAATTAATTACAATTAAATAAATAAGATTAAACCAACTTTTCAGTTATGCTAGCCACACTTCAATTGGTCAATAGCTATAATAACTAATTCAAATTTAAATTCAAATAGCCACATATGGCTAGTGGCTATCTCATTTGGACAGCTCAGTTAGGGTATTACTAACTAGAATAGCAGATTAATCTCAAAACAGCCATGTCTTAAACACTAAAAGTTTATTTTGTACCTGCATCACGTCCCAACCTACCAGTATTGGGGGAGGGGAGGGTTTGGCTCCACTGAGCCCTGTGGGGATGCTGGTTCCTGCCATCCATGTGGCTGCTGCCTTCAACATGCAGGCTTCAAGGTTGCTATGGGGAGAAGAGTACGGAGGTTCTCTTAGGAGGTTTTATGGGCCACATATGGAAATGTCCTGCATTACTTCTGCCCCTATTCCAATGGCTAGAAATAAATGACATGGCCCTTCCTGGCTGCAGGCTAGGCTGGAAAATAAGTATGTGCCCAGAAGGGAAAGAAACGGATTTGTAGACACACAGCAGTACCCTGCCATGATTATCAACAAATTTTTTTTTTTAATAATTTGCCGGGGGTCTGGAATCAGACTCCAACACCTCCTCCATGAGGAACTGGAAACAAATTTTAACTAATGTGCTGAAGGAGTGAAGCTGGTAGAGTTCTGGATGTAAGGAAGAGACTGAAGGAGCAAAATGGGGCAAGGGGATTAAACAGCAAGGATCAGGAAGGAGAAATGGAATTAATAATAAAAAGCAGGAAGTTTGATTTTTGCTGGAGACCCACATCTTCCTCAGAAAGAGTAAGTGTGAGAATTAAGGATTTTGAGGTGAAAAGGAGAGAAATTAAAGATCCCCAGGTTGAATCACCTTGTCTTTTCTAAAAGTTATCTGCTCGCTTTGACAGAGCTGGACCGATGTTTGTGTAGGTGCTTAAAGTGAGCAGAAAACACATGGAAGATGTACAAGGATGGCTGGGACTTTTGCTGAAGAATTTAGAAGGGATTTGTTTCAGACTAACCTGGTGACCAAGATGTCTTGGGGAATATGTCAAGTAAATTCAAATGTTGGTCTTTTGTTCTTTTGATGAACATCCCTATGATAAACCATGGGTTTCTGTTAATATTCTGTTTGACCATAGGATTTGCTTTTGAAATGTAAGTTAGGCTTTTCTCTTCTGCCTTAATTAATATACCCGTATAAAAGCAAAACACAAAAGCTAGTGAATAGATTAGCATGCAAACATTTTAAGATTAGATGAACAGAAAATATTAAAAAACGAGTAATTCGTACTTTGACAACATCAGTACAATTGTCAACACTACACCATTTGAAGTTTGAGAGGAAAATTTCTTCTCATTAACACTGAACTAAAACTAGGAAGAAAATACAAATATTCTTTGTTAGAGATACTATAAAATCTTGGAATCACAACAGCCAAACAATGTAGCATCTTCTGTATCTGCCTCCTTCTCCCTACTCCACCTCTCAGCTTCCTCCCTACTCAAGTTCTCAAAGAACTCTCTTAGAAAACATTCATTATTTAATATGAGGTGGCACAGGAAGTCTCACTTTTTCTTTCTTTCTTTTTTTTCATTTGCTCAGAAATTCTACCAGATTCCCATTCTTGGTTCATGTGTTCGAATGGGACTGATTGACCCTAGATTCACGCCTGGCCAATGAGAATATTGCCCACACTGATGGGCATCGGAACCAAGCCAGGCCAGTGAAAACTCTGTGGGATTTTGAGTGGAAACAACATGGGTTCTGAGGAATGTAAACCTGAGTGCTGCTAGGCATCTTTGTCAGCATGTTGGCAGAGCCTGCCTGAGATGAAGTCAGCACAGATGAACAGAGTACCAAACGGTGCACAGAGATCAGAGAGTGATGGAGAGAGAGATGACAGAGATAGTGATAGAGATGATAGAGAGAGAGGTAGTGATAGAGGTAGAGGCAGATATGGGGAGAGAGCAAATGAGGGAGAAAAAGAAATAGAGTTTGCCTTAACTGTATTAAGGCCCCTCATCCGGCCATAACTGAAACGGATATCCCTGAGCAGATAGATGGACTGAGTTCCCATGGTGTACAACCCAGCCCAGTGAGAATTAGGCTTTTGTCAGTTTTAAGAAAAAGAGTCCTGACTGTCACACTTTAAAGTACAGGTTCAGGCTGAAGAGGAGCGAAACTTGGACAATCAAGGCAACAGGTAGTACCAGCATTTTCATATCCCCCAAATTTTGACCTTTTTGGCAGTGCTACTGATGGCATTCCAAAGAGGACAAGAGTAGAAAGAAAAACAATACAGATAAAAGTCAGCCTCTCCTCCATGTACAGGAGACCTAGAGAAGGATAAAGTAAAATCTGGGCTTCTTTAGACATTTAATTTATTTCAACCCATCTACTACTCTAATAATAAACAATTAGCTTAAGTCAGAGAAGCTGGTCAGAGCAGCTGGGTTGCTAAGAGGTAATGCGATGTAGTAGCAAGTGGCCTTCCTGGGTTGAGTCGCAGCTTGTACTTCAGTGGCAATATGACATTAAGAAATTGCTTTAGGTCTTATATAGTCTTTTCTAACCTGAAATGGAGTAGATATCTTCTATGGCACAGACTAGCAATTGTCCCCTGATAGCCATTCTTTCCTTCATGCATAGTAACAAAATATTCAACTAAACACATGGCCTGTCTTTTCCCAGCTTATCTTGCAGCTAGTTGTGGCCATGTGACTAAGTTATAGTCAATGGGATGTAAGGGGCAGTGTACAGAGCAGCTTCTGGGAATCTTCCTTAATAAACAGCTTTCCCCTTTTCCATCCATCCTGCTGTATGGAGTGTGGGTGTGCTGGCTCGAACACTGTTCTGGACCAGAAGGCACCTAGATTCATAAGGACTGAATGGGGCAGAGCCACTTACAACTGAGGACAATTACATGAGAGATATATAGATGTTACTTAAGCCACCAT